ATATATTCCCCTATATAACCCCCCTCAAGGAGTTTAGACTATGGCTCATATACCTCTAAGTCCTGCAAGGTGCTCCCGTTCTTGAGAAGCCCTCATGTATCATTTTACTCAAAAAACCTAGAGCCAAAAACCCTACAACTACAACCCTAGACTCTGAAACCGCAAGCCCGAACCTTGAATCCTGAAACCCTAAACCCTGGACCGCTGACTTCTTAGACTCGTGAAACCCTGAGTCCGGTCCTTGATTTGCTTTAGCTCAACTTCCTGGGGGCCACAGAAGGGGGGCTGCGCCGGGTTTGTAAAATGGAAACTACTATCATATTGGGGTTATATAGGGATACTATTACAGTATATTACTTATAGTATAGGGCTTGGGTTTGTAAGGCTTGGTTTTGATAGTTGCGGGTTTAGCGCTTAGGATTCAGGGTTGAGTGGTTAAGATCTAAGGCGAAGATTTAGTGTTTAGGATCAAGGGCTTACAGCTTTGGCGGCCTCTTTGTCTCGGCTACTGAGGTTTTAAGCTTCGGCTTCTCTAGCGGCGAGAATCGGCTTTGAGGGTTGAGAGCCTGAGATTTGTCGAGGCTCTCAGATGCAAAGCGTCAGCGCTACGTATTTACCGCTTAGCGGCTAGAACTAAGGACGGCGGACCACCAACCTGTGCACAAGTCTATGCAATCAAGGTGGCGAAGCTCTTCGCGGTTTATGGTTTAGGGTATAGGGCCGAACCTATCAGCACTGTGAGACACAAGTTACACAGACATGCATAAGACATGCAGATAATAGTGTCCCTGAAAATATTATGAGCTATAGTCAATATTTCATTTATCGTTAGCGGACATGACAGGGTTTTTTTTTGGGACTACATAGGGAAGTACAGTCCCTTGCTAATCCTCAAATAACCATATTCCAAGCTTGCACTGTGGGATTTGGGTTACGTCAAACTGGCGACTGATCAAAGTTCAGCTTGCGAAGCTTCACTAGCAGCAAGTCTGTCAATGTTGGCAAATGGTGTCCCGAAATACACTCTGGCTTTGCAATGGAGTTGATGTGCCCTGCAGAGTCTGGATTGACATTCTGCACCCACAAAGACGCGGATTTCCCCGAATTTCTCAATGCAGACCCAAGAGACCCGAACCGTAAGGGTCTACCCTATGTCCTAAACCCTATACACTAAATCCAGGCAACTGCCAAGGCCTCCCCCAAAAGGCTTCTGCCAAGGTTCCACCAGCCCACCAGCCCCTACAATGACATGCTTTAGGGTTTAGGGCTCTAGATTCTATAGAACCTGAATCCCAAAAAATCCGAAAGTCCACTCCGCCAAGATTCCACATAAGTCTGGAACTTACCCTGCTCCTTTATCTGCCAGGTCTGGTCGTGGATAATCCTCAGGTTTGCCGGGTCACTGTTTTTGTGTGTGTGTGTGTGGGTGTGTGTGTGTGTGTGTGTGTGTGTGTGTGGGTGTGTGTGGGTGTGTGTGTGTGTGAACCACCTGTTTGCTAAGGTCTTTCTACTTTTACATTTGCAGGGGGACAGAGGAGACTTGCAAAGCTCTGTCCAACGAAGCTCTTTGCAAGATCTCAGGATATCCGGCCTGATCAGCTGGAC